CACACCATTGGCATGCAGACGTGACAGAGCCTCCACAGTGTTTTACAGATGGCTGCATGCACTCGCTGTTTTACCTCTCTCCTGACCTCCTCTGTAAATATTAATGATTCAAACAAAAGAATTTCTCACTCTCTTCCACTCCATAAGACCTGTTGCTACTTATTTTCAGTCAGTTCTTGCGTAATTTGGCATACCTCCACCTTTTCTCCCCATTTCCCTTTCTTAAGAATGGTTTTTTGGTAGCCACCCCTACACTGAGACCATTTCTGGTTAAGTTTCAGTGAACAGTAGATGGATCAACTGAAGGGATGTTTGGATTTGTTGGATCCCAACAGCTGCCTAAAGTCACTTTATATTGTAAGGTAAAGGCACAGAATAAACCCACACTCAATAAGAGCTGGGATAGGCTCCAGCCACCCCTTACCACCCTGAATGAGATAAGCAGGTAAGAGAATGGACGGCTGCGAGAGGGTCTTACTTGGTGTTCTTACCATAAACGCACAGCTTTAAGTCCTGGCATGAGCTTGAAATAGCAAATATTAGCTGTTCAATAAGCAGCTGACTCATAGGTTTGAATAATATCATGACAGTATGTACTCCAACATCTTTCTTTTGTGAAGCATGTTTGTATAGTTAATGCAGATTAAATAAGATTTAACGAACATGTAAGGTTTGGATAGTTTTCTCTGCAGAGTCATTGCTGATTGTCTGAGACCACTAAAGACAAGATTTTGGCCAGTTCCTTATAGAAGCACGCACATAGGTACACAGAGTCATACAATCTGATTTTACTTAAGACATTAGTTATTCTAATATTCATTAAATAATAAATAAATTATCTGAATAACATTATTTGAAACGTAACTATTTTTTTCTGATCAATCCACCATATACAACTAAGGAGATAAATACTCAATCAAGTCCAACAGTACTGCAAGGTTCACTCCACTCCAGTCTTCCACTGACTCTTCCAGTGCTGCACCGGCTGTTGCCCCGGCCCTTTTCACATCTCTCATGAAAGGGGGATATGTGAATAGCTTGACGCCTCATTAGGAACAAAACAGAAATGACTAGGACCCCAGGACACGCGGACACACACACACACGCACTGTATAGCCCCTTAGGGAAGGTGTTGAGGGCAGAGGAGAGGATGTTTTTGTGCTTCTGAGCAGATGAAGGAAAACGGTGACTCACATCTTCTCTTATCCTTACATGTTTCCTGGTTAAAACAGCTTGACCTTATAAGGCTAAGACACACAGTCTTGATCTCTCTCTCACACAAACACACACACACACACACACAAGAACACCTTACTGTTCCACTGCAGAGGGCAGAAAAAACAAGCTGTAAATATTCAACACTGTAGCCCACATGAGAAGATGATGAAAGCTGGCATCAGCTTCAAAACACCAAAAACTGCAGATACCAACAAACACAGTCAAATATACCTGTGTAAAATAGATGCAAACAAACAAATACATCCATGCATAGATGCACATAGACCCCAGTCAACACACCCACCACACACACACATGCACGCACCTGTCCATTATGCCTTGCCTGTAGCCCATAATGACCCAGTCCTTGTATAGCCACTTATTTAACAAACACATTTGTAGTGATGTCACGCTTTTGGCTGGATTGCACAAGGAGTCACATAAATCAGACATTAGGCATGCATGCATACACACACACACACACACACACACACACACGCTGGATAAAAAGACAAAGGACACATAAATAAATCTAATGTAATGTGCCAAGACAGCTGACCTGGATTTCACTAGTCGTCAGTTTATTCCTGCTACCACCTGCAGCCCAAGACCCAACGGCAACTAGCTTACACCACCTACTTCCAACAAGAAATCTGGCAGCTGAACACAAACATCAATCTCACAAAAACCAAAGGAAATAATAATGTTTTGTGTTTGGAGCAACAGGACTTAAAATCACTTACTTAAAACATGAATATATCCTAACCAAACTGCACATTTTACCCTTATTACTAATAATAATACAGTAATACACAACACACTGTAATGTATCTCTGGCTTATTCCTTACACATGAAGCGACTTCTCAAACCAAATTCATTCCATCTGTGTAGGAGTGTCGGTGTAAAGTGGGAAAACAGCATCCAAGTGAAGTAGTTTGTTTATTACAATCTCACACACAGCTGGATCACTGTTTTTGCTTTTTTCTCCTTTTTCCTTTTGTCTCTGTGTCCCTTTTTTTCCTTCTTTCTTTTGCAAAGCTTTGAAACGTTGCCAGTGAACGTAACGCCAGAATCGCCCAGGTTCCTCTTGTCATTGATTATTGATATACTCCCCAATAATACAAAAAAGTAAGCTTAATGTAAAATTAGAAAACCCAATGCATTTGCACTGCAGTTTTATGTGTCATTAAAATTTGTTAAGCAACACTTAGTGAACATATTTAGTTATTTCAGTTTGCGACTTTTTAACTTTTTAGAGCCCAAATGGTCCAAAGAATAGGCTTATATATACCAAATATATCAAGTTTACAAATTCAGTATCAATGTTTAAATGTTTTGTAGTTAAACTCAGTACTCTTGTACTGGCTCAAGGATATCCAGCATGAATATTCTGTGTTCAGGAAGTTATGAACAGTTAACTGGCCTCAAACAATCTTTATTTGCTTACAGAGGCTTTAGCCGACCTTGATGGAGACTGTGTTACTATGCAGTAAAGCATTATCAAAGCTAGACCACTACAAAAATAGCCAGTCATTAAGAGGAGCTGAGCGTTCATATATATTTGGAGCAGTCCAAAACTACACATCATGGAGCCAGTCCCAAGCCAATTCCCAGACCCAACGCTGGTTGTCATTCAACAACGACACGATGACCAAATCTCTCCATATAAGTCACAGCAGCCACACACAGCTCAAAACCATCATATGAGAGTCCAAAGCTTAAACTGCAAACTGGCTAATTGTGACGAGGTCAGCATCACCCATTGCTGAGTATAGACTTACAGTGATAGGTGTGTTGTGGAAAAGTGTGCCTTTAGTGCTTCTGAAATGACATGTTGGTACATAAGCACACACATTAGTGAGTGTGAATCAGACTTGAGAGAGGAGAAAGTGAGGGAGAGGCAAAGGCAGACTTTCAAATCCTGCCAGGTATTTGATTTCCAATCATTTTCGCCATTATTCAGTGAACAAAAGGCAATAGAGTCCAAATCAAAGCTACAAACCACATAAAACCACCTTTCAGGGAGAGGCAAGAGGTATGACTTTATTTTTCCCCCTTTACATAAGTGTCTTCTCTTTTATATTCACCTAAAACTTAGTAGTAACATACTATCAATAGTGTTAGATGTTCTAATTCACTGAAATCAGTTGGCTTTTAAAAAAATGTGGATTTATTAGAGAATGAAATAAAAATGTTATGTTTTCATTTTAAAGCTCACCCCACAGCTTTTTAAAAATCACAAAATATTAAATGTTAATTGCAAATCTCTTTAAAAAGCCTTACGGATGTACAGAGCTCACATCTGTCATTATGACTTTCATGGAAATATAGTATAGACTCAAAAAAAGGATCTTAAAGGCATAAAATCAGTGGTGTAAAGAATATATAATTTCACAGGCAGACATAAAAAATAATTTAAAAACAAAACAAAACAATTAATTCTCACTTTCCTCAAGACATCTTCTGGATGTCCAAACATAATGTCTTTGAGACATTTGTGCGCTCATCTAGGTCGATACATGCAGGCAGCACGACTGTGTTTATAATGAGAGAAAGAGTAGAGATCTCCAGATTTTAACAGAAATCCATATAAGTGCATGTTTAGACTGAAGAGCCAGAGCTAGACTAACTAGTCTGAGGGTTGTCTATGTGTGTAGGTATGTGCGCTTATGTGTGTGTATGTGTGTGTTGACTGCTGTCCCTGTCCATCAGAGGGTCATATGAGGAGCAGATTAGGGTTTCTAACCGCAAACCCCTGTCGCCACAACCCCGACGTCACGAGTCAGCGAGGAGTCATCGTGTTCCGAACCACCGGTGACTCACCCCTCCTCATCTCGCTACATGCACACCAATACGCACACACAGAATACCCCACATCTAAATCAGGACTTAGTGGTACAACCCATGTTCGTCAACCATTCGGCAAGATCAACATTTCAACAAGTCGATTTGAGCCAGAACTGATGACTGCCATTAGTTAAAGTATGACTACAACTAAAACTGTTTTCACGCATGCATTGCAGCCCTTTGCTATGTCCACTCTAGAGTAAAAAGCCTGTACAATGCCCGATTGTGCTCATGGGAACTGTCTAGTGAATTCACATCAAGCGAGTGGCCAATATGTCTCCTGTACTAGCCAGCTAATACCCTCTCTTAAATCAAACAGAGTATTCCCAATGGTGAGATCGCATCGGATGTGGACTTTCTCCTGCACTGCGCTACATGTGAGAAAGGAGCACCTCGAACAGAAATCCTGGCCCGATTCTCCCATTTTTATCATTCTGTATAGGCATTGTTTCATTTGTTTAAAGTTATTCACCATTTAGTAAGTGACCAACTCTGTAGAAAGAACCATCAGACACATTAGTAATTAAATACACAAATAAATAATTAAATTATGATGTAGTCTAATTTTCTAAAAATGTATAATTATATGTCTGAAGGGAATTTGGTATCTTACTGTGAAGCCTTCCAAATACTATGAGCCCAAGATGAAAACTCAAATGAGTCTTTGGCTTGAACAGGATGGCTAAGGTTTCCTTTTAAAACACACCTCACAATACTTTACCAAACCTATAATCAAGATTTCCATGATGCATACTTGGAAGGAAAATTTGGTATAAATTATATAAATGATCCTCTAATTTATCCTTTAGTGGATTATGTCAGCTGGTAGGACCCTGACTAACCGCCCTACATAAGAGTCATTAATAAACTGACCTATTAGCTAAAGGGAAAGCTGTTCTTTGGATTAATAAAAAAAAAAAATCTTCAGACTTACAGTAAATCCTCCACAAAGATGTAACGTCCAGCTGTTTTTCCCCATCTATGGTGTGCCAAAAAGTGTTTAGCTGCACATTTTCAGCACAACCAGAATCTAGCACCAAGTGGCAAGCTGTCACTTTAAGCCTGTTAGGAGGGAGGGGGGTATTTACAACCCGACACACAAGCGAGACTATAAAACTGGACTCTCTTCACCTCTCTCTCAACCCTTCTCCCTCCTTTCTATTAAACCAGCGGTTGTGCAAAACCTCAACAGACAGAAAAAAGAAATTAGTGCATGTAGTGGGAGCAATAAAGACACTACATGAGGAATTAACAGATATTAAACAGCTTACAGGATTCATTACAGCTGGAGATGAAAGTAGGACCAAAGCAACTGAACTGCTCTTTTATAAGGAATTAACCCTAAAAATAAGTGCTTTGGCACAAACACACATAAAAAAATCCAATTCTGCCTCTGTCTCACACACAGACACACAGCCACACACACGCACGCCACATCCGCTGTTACCAGGTTATTTTCTTCCCTAGTGTTTAGAGTCTATTCTTGGAGTCATGTTTGTGTATGTGACCCCTCCGAATGCCTTTTCATCTCAAGAGCGCATGTTTGTGAGTTTTTCTGTACGTAAGTGCATCAAGCAAAAACAAGGCCATGTTTATGGGTTTAAATCCATATAAATTTTCAAAATTGTCATTCACAGTTATATAAAAATGATCTTTCCCTTTTTCTTCCCAGTGCCTGCTTACTATCTCCACTTCCTTCTCGCTCCTTCTCCTTTACTTGTCATATTAACATCTCTTTCGTTTTATCTATCCTTCAAAGTCCTTAAAGACAAACTTTAAAAATCTAAAGTATCTTTCCATTTCTGTCCACTCTTCCTTCATGTTTTTCTGGGGCCTTACTTGATATTTTATTTCATCTGCTTGGAAGCCACACACTAGCAGCAGGGCTTTTCAGTCACTTACCCCTGAACCCTCAGTGGCTGCCAAGTGGAACACATGCTGGCTGGAATATGGCTTTATCTGAGCATGTGGTTGAGCTGCTGAGGCAAAGCTCAGGGTTTAGGTCTAGACTTCAGAAGCAGCTCCTCCTTTACTGTACATTGCATTTGCCATGGTATGAATATACAACTCAGTTTGAATCATGCTGGGCATAGACGCCACCACAGTGGGTTTTACATTAAACAATCAAGATGTGATTGAAATGCCGACTTTAAGCTGTAATTCAGGGGGTTTTACAAAAACTGTTTACAAATAGCTTCCATTTTTATACATAGATCCCCATTTTAGACGGTGAAAACTGACTGGACATATTAACTGTACTTCCATTTATGCAGAGAGAAACACATAAAGGGACATATACTGCACATTCATTCAAAATGAAGATTTAAAAAATTATTTTTGCCACTTTTATTTGCAATTTTTGGCAATTATCAGCAAAAATTGCAAAATATAAGCACGTATCACGTTTTTGCTTTTCATTAGATCATTTCCTCAACGTTACATAAACATTTCTTTACTTTCAAGGAAAATTAATGTTATAAGTACTGTGATTTTTCTTACAGGTTGTGAGTAAACAAATAGTAAAAGAGGCAAAACTGTGCCTCAAAGCAAGAAGGTTGAAGCAGAATAGAAACAGAGAATAAAACCCCAACACCCACCCACCCACCCACACAAAGAAAACACACAAAGATAATATAATAACACACAATGAGCTTGTTTGTCCAACCAGTTTAGAAAACTGGGTTGGTCACAGCAAAGATTCAGAGTAAACATAAGAAAAGGAGAGGCTGAGAGCGCTATTTTTCCTGTCTTCCAAATATAGCTGCAGACTGCATTTATGTGTATCAATAGTGTATGTGTGTGTGTGTGTGTACGGGTGCACACATGTGTGCGTAGGTTTGTGCATGTGTGTGCATGCAAGTGCATATCTAGTTGTGATATGGCTGCACAATAAGCAAAGATTTACTACATGAGCTGACTTGAGTATGGCTTATTACACCTCAATAATGTCAAACCAGGACTTAAAATAGAGCTAAGGAGGGACGCTACCTACCTCTGCTGTCGTCACGCACACATACACACACGCACGGACATACAAGTGTTCACAAACACAATTTTTTGACAGGCTACCCAGTCCTGCAGGCAAAGGCTCACAAAGTTGAGGTCATTTCATGTGAGACTACTCTGTACATGAGAAAAGTTTAGCATCAAGGGGAACGCACACACACTCACACACACTTCCTGTTTCTTACTGTCACCTGGAGGCTGAAGAAAACAACAAAGCCTCTGGTTATGGGCCAGCAAGATATAAAGACAATGGCTACAGCATGTGTGACTCACATGCACACACACACACACACACACAACCTCCCTTGGGTTAGGCTCAGAAAAGAAAATTCCCTCATTACAGCAGCATAGCAGCAGTTCAAAGGCAAAGTGGGAACGCTGTCCTGTTACTATGGCTCTAACTGGCTTAAAGCCTGTATCATCACAGTGACTACTGTCACAATTCATCATACTTACACGCTGACCAACAGCCCAGCAACACAGTCATGCACACAGTCACATTGCCTGCCAACAGTGATGTCAATTATAGAATAGCCTCGGTGGATCATCAGCAAGCGACTGTGTCAAGTCATGAGCTTAGTGAGCTCAGATAAAAAGTTGATTTGCAGATCTTTTTAGACAAAAAAAACAAAAAAACATAAGAGATGAAAATAACATTAAACTGCAGACAGAAAGCTAATGCAAAAATATATACATACAACGTGTAAATTAGCTTCTCTTGAGCTGATTCTTTTAAGTGAAGTAGGAGTGAGTTACCGACCTCAAAAGCTCACCGACTCTATTTTCAAGTCTATAAAGTTAAACCTCCTGCAAACCTTTCTCAGAGCACTGTACCACAATAGAGCTGTAGTAACTAGGTAACATGCAGTAAAATGTAGCACCAGCACGTACAGCTCTGAAAGTGACAGACAGGATTTTTAATTGAATTTAGAATTAGACTGGGTATGGAGAAAGGTGTGAGCTTACCAGACCTCTGTAGCCCCTCGCTTGAGGGAGCAGCTAGAGGCTACATTAGCATTTACTGGCGTAACACACTTGAATCCCCGGCTGAACTGTCAGTGCTGGTCCATCCTATCCATCCAAGAGTCTTTCAGCAGGGCTGTGGATAATCATAGGCAACGGATGAATCCTAATCATTTTAATGATCTCCTTGACCGATCTTCCAGCAACTAGGACACTAAGATTAAATTATATATAGAGACCTCACATTCCCCAAAGGAAGAAGCCTTCCAGTCTCTGTGAAACTTAAAACTCTGATGATTAACCAACCACAGACTAAAATGTGAGTATGTAATGTGTAACGCCAGAGGTTACACGTGCAGTACTTTATTGCGCTATTGTACCAATTATTTATGAATTAAATCAATAGATTTTACCATTAAATTCTTAACATTATACAAAAAGAAGGACTGAAATATAAACCTCAAAGAGTATGAAGTGAGTGTCACTATTTGGAATCACTATGAGGAATGACGTGCTCTGCAGTGTGTGGCTGCTGTGTGAGGTAGGTCAGAGAACGACTAACCACACTAAAGACTTGTTAACTCTCTCTTATCTGGAGTAGTGCAGCACACACAAGTAGCAAATGTCTCTAACAGCTAAGTCAAGTCCTCTCCTCGTGCCCTACTACCAAGACGTGTTGTTGGTTTATGCCTCAATGCTTCAACATGTGCAAGTGTGTGCGCATATTCCCATAAAAGTTGAGAAGGCAGTAAATGCAATATGTCAAGTAGGCGTATGCCTGTCTTTCCCAAAATATTAGCTGCCAGTAAATGCTATAAATGTAAATGAGTCCGTGTTACCTTTCCATATGACATGAACAGGCAGTGAGAACTATGATTCCGAAATTTCCAGTCAGTGTTCCTAAGCTCCAGACAGACACTGGAGGCAGACACACAGTCATCCTGTGAGTATACTGCCAAGTCTTCCAAGTGCATGCTTCACATCTGTTTGCTGTTACACGTACGCAGATAAAGTAGTGGACCGTACGAAAGGCACAAGCACACACTGACACCTACACTTGCAGTTTGTTGCAAGAGAGGTCTGCAAACCCCACTTAAACCGCCCGCACAAGTTCATGGACCAAAGCTGCAAGTACTGAAAAGAGCGTGAATATTTACAAATAAATATAATATAGAGTTTGAAAATGAATTTTGAACACTTGGAATCGAGGAGAAGACTCGACCTCGCAGCTGAAGTTGTGTCTACTTCTGAGTTTTAGAAGTATAAAAAAGCAAATTAATCAGGCAGAATGACAAGTTTTATATATATTTCTTTGTATTCAAATTCATGTAAACAGGAAACAAAGGTATACACTCTACACATTTTCCCTTATACATTAACGGTCTTGAGGTGTAATTTCTCACTACTGGAAATGCATAGTCACAAACGCACACTTCTGGTCCCTCAGGATTTGGCTCTTTGAGCAACAGTTACAGTGTGACTGTTTTAGCCTTTGAAGTCAGGAGTCAGTAAACCTCTGGGAAACTGGCTTCGATTCTCGCTCAGTCTCCACCCCTCACTTTGCAACTACAGAGAAGCTTTCCAAAAAGCCTCATTATAAAGTCAAGAGGGGAAGTTCTAGTTAAAGTGATCTATTCAAAAAGGCCTTGGGCCTTTGTGTCAAGTTAAGTCCAGAGATTTCATCTTCTTTTAGGAAATACTGGCTCATTTCAAAAGCATCAGTCATTCGTTTCAGTCTATAAAAGCTTCCCGTCATTTCAGCTCTCTTTCTCCCTATGACACACTGCACTGTTTGGGATTAAGACTGGGTTTTAGCAAAATTAGATATTCCGACTGCGAAATAGAGGAAGTCCATCATGCTTAGAGAAACAGAAAGGAAAGGAGAGGTACTCTGACATTTTGAGGGGGAAAAAACGACACACTGCAGTTCTTTTTGTCATAGCTACTCACTTCCTAATGTATTCATATATCCCTTCAGAAACAGCTGCAAATGCTAAAAGGAAAGAAAGAAAGAAAGAAAGAAATGCAGTTTATTTTTCTTTACCTCTAAAGATTGCAAAATTAGAAGGGATGAAAAGAGAACCCACTGGCTAAACAGAGGCAATCTATAATCATTCATCTTGACTAAAAAGGGAAGGTTTTGGATTCCCGGAGACAGTCAACAACAAAGACAGAAGACTTTGCGTGCAAGCCACTATAACATGACTTATGAGAAAAGAGTCTGACAGTGCGCTAGGGTGTGATTAATATGCTCTAAGTTTATGTCACATCCATAGGAGGCTGAGGAAAAGGAGGGCATCCAGAGGGCAGCATTGGCATCCTCAAGTGCTCAGCCTATATATATATATAAGCTGTGATGCCTGAGGGTAAAGTGGTCTGCATTCCACTGATGCAGCTTAAATGATGGATATCTTAGATACCTACA